AATAATTAACATAATTATTTTTAAGAAAGATAAAATATATAAAGAAATGAAAATTTATGAAACCTTCTTATTGGCTGGGGCTTTAGGCGACAGCCTAACTCGCCAAACATTCTAGCCACCCCTGCTGACATACAACGAATGAGACTCGAAAATCAATCCAAAGAATTGACGTAGAGTACATTGACATAATTTTGCGAGTAGGCTCCATATGATGAGATATCTGAAGTCACAACGAGTGTTTTAATGTGTAAAGATTGAATCTTTGAGTGAAAATACCACAGTCAAGGCCAAGTAATCGGTTAGATGATTCCATGTAACCGGTTAGATGGGCTATGTAAAGCAGCCAAGTAAACAACCGCGAGACCTTTTTCTTTTTGTAGTTGTTGAAAAGAAATCCCTGAAACTAGGGTTTTGGAAGAATTTAACATGACCTTCACCTCTATTCCCCTTCATATCATATCAAAGTTTACCAAATGGATGTGAAGTCTAGAAGTGTAGCTTCAGGAGCTTATAGAGGCTCCAGGAGACCTTGGCGCTTTAGGGTCCGTTTGGAAAGTGTTGTGTTTTGTAGTGTTTTGTTTCAGCATAGAACAAAACAAGTGTTTTGTAATGTAGTGTTCTAAAATGAGAAGAAATCATGTTTGGCGAGGATCAAAACATCCAAACATCCATGAACCCAATCTCTCTCTCCTTAAAACATTCACGAATCCAATCTCTGTCTCTCTCTTCCTCCTTCACTCTTTCCTCGCACCCATCTCACTCTCCTCTCATCGCCTCCTCTATCTCTCCGAGCAATACCCAGATCATCTCCGATTACGGCATCCGCCACCACTGCTACCATAGAAGTAGAGCCGCAAACCACCACCGTCACTCCTTCCAAGTCTTTGCCTTTCCGGATCGGCCACGGCTTCGACCTCCACAGATTGGAACCTAGAAACCCCTCATCATCGGCGGCATCGATATCCCTCATGATAGAGGCTGCGAGGCTCACTCCGATGGTAAATCAAATGATATAATTTTTTGATTTTTTGAACAATCTAAAATGATATGCCGATATGGGTTTTGAACAATCTCAAATGATATGCGGATATAGGTTTTGATTCTTGCAGACAGATAGATAAACTGAAATATATGGGTTTTGAACTTCTGATTCTTGTAGATTTTGTAGTTTGCAAAGGCACATAGAGAGAGAGAGGGCAAGTTCAGAGTTGAGTACGAGAATAGAGATGGAGGCGGGTTTTGAACTTCTGATTCTTGTAGATTTTATAGTTTGCAATTGCAGAGAGAGGGGGGGGGGGGGGGGGACAAGTTCCAGAGTTGAGAATGAGAGATGGAGGCGATTGGGAGGCTGAAATGATTTGCCTTAAAAAAATTTATTATTACCCCCGCTATAGTAAAAAATGGGCCTGGAATAATATAAAACACCAAATTTTTGTTCCAGCTTTTGCGCTAAATAATGGATTTGTTTTTAAAGTATTCTGATATTGTTGAAAACAAAACAAGCCGGCCCAAACATATTTTATTCTCAAAATGGGCTACTGTAGCGAGCCTGAAACATTACAAAACATATGGGAACACTTCCTAGGGCCTGTTTGGAAAGTGTTGTGTTTTGTTTTAACCTAGAACAGAACAAGTGTTTTGTAATGTGGTATTCTGATATGAGAACAAAACATGTTTGGGACGAAAATTTGGAGTGAGAATTTTGGAATAGAAACATGGTAAAACAAGTTTGGTAGCATTTTTTACCTTCTGAAAATATTCCTAAATTTAAAGATACGGGTTTTGATTTTTTGAACAATCTGAAATGTATGCCTATATGGGTTTTTTTTTTTGGATGATTAAAATAAATTAATTTTCCAACGGATCATCAGAACAAAGCCATCAAGAAATGGATCATCATATTTATGCCTTTGCAGCTAAAAGGAGAGGCAAAATATACACAAATACATACTATATATATATATATATATATATATATACACACAAAATCATCTATGATAATAACTATTATGACAGAGCTTGATTAGTTGATTTATAAATAAAAAATTATGCACAAATAAAAATTTTCACAAATTATTAATTTAGGAGCTTGATTTCACCAAATACGATTTAGTTTGCAAAATATACACAAATAAAAAATTTCACCAAATACCATTTAGTTTGCAAAACAAGAATTACAGAGCTTGATTAGTTGATTTCTCAAAAAAATTAAAACAAATACACACAAGTTAGCAGTTATGGAGAGAGAGGGGGCAAGCTTGAGAGTTGAGAGACAGCGGTTGAAGCTTGCGAACGGCGAACCAGAACTGGAACAGCTACCGATGGAAACTGAAAGATATGGGTTTTAATTTTTTGAACAATCTGAAATGATATGCCGATATGGGGGTTTTGATATAGGTAATAGGTTTTGAACTTTTGATTCTTGCAGACAGATACATAAACTGAAATATATGGGTTTTGAACTTCTGATTCTTGTAGATTTTGTAGTTTGCAGTTGTACAGAGAGAGAGAGGGGGGGGGGGGGGGGGAGTTCAGAGTTGAGAACGAGAATAGAGATGGAGGCGGGTTTTGAACTTCTGATCCTTGTAGATTTTGTAGTTTGCAGTTGGAGAGAGAAAGAGACTAGGGCAAGTTTAGAGTTGAGAACGAGAATAGAGATGGAGGCAATTGGGAGGCTGAAATGATTTGTTCCTTCCACTACAGTCACTTTTGTAGCCCAAATAAACTCGGAACAAACTAGAACAACAAAATGGTGTTTCAATTTTAGGCCCCAAAACCTGGAATGTTCTGGTACTGTTGAAAACAAAATAAGCCGGTCCAAACATGTTTTGCTTTCAAAATGGGCTACTGTAGCGCGCTTGAAACATTACAAAACAAATGGGAACATTTCCCAAACATGCCCTTAGTGCGCCTTTCATTAATACTAAGAGGGGTCTAGAGATACAGAACAATTTTCTTCGGCAATAATGATGTTAGTATTTCGGAAGCATTCCTCATGTAGTTGGATTACCTAAGTGTCAATTTCGGTCATTTTACAAAATTATTTATACAATGGAATCAATGGCACATAGTCCACTTTTTTCCACCCATTTTTGAACCAATAAAAATTTGTAAAGAAAAAAGGGTGACACATCCCTCCTATTATCATTTCTTTCTTGTATAATCTTTACCGAACAAATCCTTCCTTCCTTCCTATTTTCTTTCCACATCTCTTCCTTCCTTCCTAAGTTTTGTCAGTATCCCACAAAGATTCATTTCATTGGCAAAATGATAAAATAACACATTACCGTTACTAAGTTGGATGATCATCACATTCAGAGAAAATAAGTGAAATTATAAAACATAGTGGGATTACGAGAGAGAATATTTACATTGCACACGCTATACAGAGAGAATATTCGCATTGCACACGTTATACGCTCACGGTTTTAAAAAAACGTCTATGGTTGTGCAGTCGAAATGCAAAAAAACATTGACTCTCTCTCTCTCTCTCTTAGTGAGGAAATTTTGAAAATGCTGGAATATCAAAATTACATAAAGTGGCTCTAATTAATTCACACTTTAAGTCAAAATGCGGGGACGGGCTTATCTGCAGGAGTGGCCTTGCCCAATACTCATGTATACGTATATGTGTATGTATATGTCTACACGCATCTATGTAATATATATATATATATAGGTTATCTTTAATGTTATCTTATCCGAAAAGGTCATGCAAATGAGGGTTCTGACCATATTTGTGATTCGGCACTTTCCACTAGAAGGGCTGCAAAATGGGCTTTACAAGTGGTCTGATATTAGAGCCGACATTGTTGACTTGGTCATACAACATTTATATACATATATTACTATGTTTATATATCCATAAATCCATACATAAAAATGTGAATGACCAAGAAACATGTCCCAGACTCCCAGGGAAACTACAGGAGTCAACAAAGACAATAAGGGAAAAGCCAAAAAAAAAAACACACACTCTTAATTCTAACGGGTTGGGCTGCTAAAAACTAGGGGTAGACCAAAATAAGCCCAAGAAAGCCCATATAATGGCCCGATCCGCAGCTGGAACTTTAAAAAAACACTGTTTTGAAAATGGAAGGAAGAGCTGAAAAAAAGTTGCATTTAGTCCATGAACTAGGAGAATATATTCGGTGTGCCCGGTGCATGGTAGTGCACGGATAATTCTAATATACCCAGAAGGCATGATGAACCGGACACACCGAATACCTTCTCATGAACTAGAAGGCATGTTTAATGCTGATATCCATTAAGTTAGTTAATGATGGAATTTTATCTGTCTCCCAAAGTGGATAGTTAGTGTTTTAGTCCCTAAATGAGCAAAATAGGTGTGTAAGTAGTGTGCGTTTGTTTCTTACCAATGAAAAAAAAAAACAAACAAAGTTGATGGTATTTCAAAAGAATCTATGTCCTGCAATTCAAAAAGGTTGGATGGATATATATATATATATATATATATATAAAAGAAAAAAACTTTCAAATAATAGATTATGAAACTAGGTGAAGAGGGACTCAAACACAAACTACACTTGTTCAGGGAGTTGGGTGCTTTACTAATTAAGCCACACGATAATGCCCCAAAGAAGAATACCAAATAACACTATTGATGATGCTGCTGAAACACTGAAACTGCAATGCTACTACTGAATCCACTAAATAAACCATTTAAAAAAATCAAATAGAGCCCCAGGTCGCGAGAAATTATTACGCGGTCCGGGATTATAGGGTCTCGGACAATCACAACTCGAAATGCAAAATTTTAAATAAAACGGACACATTTACTTGCATGTTGAGTTACAATTGACCACAACCACCGTGTAATAATTTCTCCAAAGTCTCGTGTCTACGCGCACTGAAGTAAAGAATCTGAAACAAAATATACTGGATAAGGGGAATAATGTTTCAAATAAACTTAATTGACACCCTTAAATAATATTATATCCAAAATCCAATTTTACTTTGAATGATTGAAGTATTAAGGATGAGGAATTATGGCATTCAAATTAAAAACTAAGACTACAACAATGTCAAAGAATACAGGCAAAGGTTGTGAGCAAATAATTGGTGGTCTATGATTTAACAACAATCACAACCCCTGATGCGAATCCTATCCAAACTAATTGAAAATAAGGGGATAATGGTTTGTTGAGCTTCTGAAAATTGACGTCTTCCACTAAATTTAAGGTGTGAGGAGTAGATCAAACCATGTGTGTTATCCCAACTTGCATTATATTCATGTGAGGAACCCTCATAGTTGCAGCACCACCTCTGCAGTTCCTCCTCAGGAATGCATAGAAATAGTTTATAACTAGTTTCTTGAAAAACCAAGAATTTTTCTTTGCCCTCACATCACCATGCCCAAGCAAATAAGTAAATCCATGTTCAATGGCTTCCCGAAGAGCTGAAAGCTCGTATTCAAGGCTAGGATCCTCATCTGCTGACATAACACTAGAAGGCAATACTGAGCCTTCTGACGTAGAAGTTCCAGCTTCATCTAATCTTTGATCTTGCATCAATGGAATCCTAAGCTCCTCCGTCCCATAACCTCCCGCGACTCCGGAGTCCCTTGACCTCACGGAAACGCTATCAAACTCCATTTCAGTCAAATTGCTCTCCAAGGCAAGATCTTGAGCCTCCCTTCTCAAGAACTTTTCAAGGCTTTCAACTAGAAGCTGCTCGAATGCACGGTGATCTTCCTTCCGCACATCTTTGTATCCATACCGGGCGATACACCGGAATATGTGATAGTCTTTAGGGCAAACTCTTCGAAATAGAAACCTTTCTTCTTGGGGGACAACTGGGACTGGGACATATTTGATGCAAACAAATACTATTGTAGAGTGGATGGCTGGAAGGTCCAATAGGAACTGCCCAAAAATGGAAGGAATTCCATGGACGAGCTCGTTGTATAATAACCCAATTCCCGGTACTCTTACAGTCCCGAGGGTGGAGCCGAGATCAAGCATGAAATCCATCGAAATCTTCTCTCTCACCTGACTCCGGTACTTCAACACACTGCCATAGTTCCAAATGTACATCACACAGAGGAAGCAGGTAGCAAAAACAAGAGGAAGCCAACCACCCTCTTTGATTTTTGTTAGAACTGCAGACATGTAGAGGAGCTCTATACTTCCAAATACAAGAGGGAAACACAGAGCTGCAAATAAGTTGGTCTGCCAAATCAGAAGCATGACAAGTGTCACCAATGTAGTGCTGACCATCATTACACCAACTTCGGCTATGCCTGTAAGAATAATTACAATGTCAATAGTAGAAATTCCAAGTTTAATCTTGATTGATAGCTATTGGCTAACCTTTTTTATTTAAAAAAAAAAAAAAAACCTTGAAATCTGTTGTGGAGGATTAAATGTCACAGATCCTATCCGATAGTACAATAATATATTTTAAAGATATGGTGATTACATGGAAACAGAGGCAATTCAAAACATGACATATAAACTTATTGTTATAAAACTAAGTAAACTAAGATAATGGAAAAATCATATCAGCCAGAAGTAGGGACTAAACTGGAAATATCTTAGGAATGAATTTGAGTGGAAGAAAAATATGGCATCAGCATAAGCAGTCATTCTGGAACTATTATGAAACTCTTTTCATGACTATTTTGGGGGGCTAAATCCATATTAACTTCAAAAAAGATATATTTTCAAAAAGCTCTAAAGAAGACTTAACCATATGCATTGGCTATGTCTGTGGTGCTCCTGAAGCTAGCGACCACGACGACGCACATGAACATTAGAAACCAATTGATGACAGGGATGTAAATTTGTCCCATCAGTCTCCTTGAAGTGTGAACTATCTTCAGCCTTGGAAAGCATCCAAGAGCCATGGATTGCTTGACACAAGAAAATGAAGCAGATATCATGGCCTGACTGGCAATCACAGCAGCAATTGTGGCTAGCACAAAAATTGGCCAGAAAAAACCATCTGTTTGTTCACAAATATGGAGGTGTCAAGATTACCAGTTAGTAGAAACAAATCTTCACTGCAAACTGAAAACATTAGAGCGGTGATGAGAAGATATGTAAAACCATATATTGGCTAGTGTCACCTGGGATAGAACTATAAAATATTGAATCTGATAATTCAGGGTATTTCATTAGATATGCAGCTTGACCCAGGTAAGCCAAGAGAAGGCAGGGGAACACCACAAAGCTGAAGGCAATCTGTGGCAGCAGGGACACATCAAATATAATACCAATGCAATTCTGTACATATAGATGTTCAAGGCAACTCATGTAAAAATAGAGGGAATATGGAGAAAAAGAAACCTGTATGGCTGGTACTGAGAAATGGCCTAAATCAGCAAACATTGCTTCTGCACCTGGAATTTCATATAATAGAAGACCAATGTCAAATGACTTAAAAGTGAGATTAATAATAATAATAATAATAAAAATAAAAAAGAAGAAGAAGGTTACTAATTCAGATTCTAATTTTGTAATACAGCACATCAAAAGGCTTTTGAAAAACCTCCAGCATTAACAAATCATTACAAGAAATCATACTATTGTAATGCCAATAATAATAATGATAATTCAGGAAATAGTAATAATACCAACAGGCCTGCGGCCTAGCGGTACAAGGCTCTTACTTCCCAAAGGGAGGTCAGGGATTCGAACCTCAATGGAGGCAGTGTGTGTGAGTCCCAACTAGGAAAAAAAAAAAGAGTAATAATAATAATAATAATGGTAATAATAACTACATAGCAGCAGCAACAAGTAGAAGAGCTATTTTGTTTTATTTTTCCATTTTTGTGCTTTTTACCGAAGACCTGCACATATAAATCATATGATATATGCTGTTAAAGTAGTAAAATGATCAACTATAACAACAAACTCAGTCTTTTTTCTCTCTTTCTTTTGCTTCCTCCCCCTCCACCTCCTCTGCTGCTAATTTCCCACAATAATCACCTTTAACTGTATGATGATAATGGTGAGAACAAAATAAAATAATATCATCCCATGTGTGTGGGTTGAAGCTTATGTCTGGCCAAATGCACCATTGTTATTGGTCTTTAATGGGAAAAGGGTTATCTGAATGCTGCGTGCATGAGACTTATCAAATGAACTTCACCTAAATGCCATCTATCTACTATACAACATCTTGGCTCCTCAGCCCTCGCAATAATCAAAATAATGGTAACATATATCAAGAACAGAATAAGCAGCTCAATAAGAGTTCAGTAGCCCGCAGTTGATGTGAAGATTTTGATGCATGCTCATTGGTCAACCAAGGTGAAAAAATTACCAAATCTGAGTTTAAGTTGAAAGAACAAATTTGGTTTGCCTTACCTACATAATCATCAATACCATTACTCTACAGTCCTTTCTACTTATTTACTGTCTTTTATCCCATGAGGCAAAAACTAAGTACCATTTATAACTAAATACCCGTAGTTCAAGTCAAAGGATGGAGTTCAGATACAGACAGTTTATCCCTCTATATATATATGTTGCTATGTATTTATATGTTTAGATATAGAAATGTAGATACAGATATCCCTCTCTCTTGTCCACATGGGAAAAACAACCACCTGCTCTTGGGCTTTTATTTTATGGTTTGCAATGCACATATACATTTGAATATGATGGCCCCCATGGCCGTACTTCCTAGTAAGTTTTCTTTCTTGAAACCAGTTTTGACCTTACACTGTCACTTGTACTCAACCCACATATCAACGTTGTTAACCCAATAATCCCAAACACGTTTAGAACCCAATGCATTGCCCTGCACCCAAAATTTTGATCAAGGCTGAAAGCTATTGTTAAGACACCTTATTGGTGAATTCACATGCTAAACACCTCAATGATTAACCAATTATCTATGTGCCTTAAGGCGAACTTTATACCTAAGAGTACTAGTATAACCCAAGTTACCTCACTAGGGCAAAACAACTTTGTAGTTTTAGCCCGTTTCTTCTCCTTTCTCCTTCAAATGCCCAGAAAAAGACCACAACACATTCCAAAGTGTAATTTTCTCCGCAGCGATGATTTTGCAGCAGGTCCATGACAAACGACCTCAGGCCTCAAGCTTGTTTTGTAATGTAATATTAATTTTTGGTTGATAAAATTAGATGATGGTGATGCTATGGCAGTGGAGATGGGTCTTCTCGGTTGTTATTATTATTTTTTTATCCAAGTTCTCTTTCTGTTACTATCACGTCATTCTTTTCAACTTGTCAGGTGCTGATTATGTTATGAGAAGACAATGACAAAGAATGCTGCAAATTCAGAATCCTCCGAGTCAGCAATAATCATTCCGTAAGGAAGTTTTATTGCGGAACTTTCCTCCCTCGCATCATTCTTTTTGACTTCTCAGGTGCTGATTATGTTATATGAAGAAAATGACAAAGAATGCCGCCAATTCAGAATCCTCTGAGTCAGCAATAATCGTTCCGCAAGGAAGTTTTATTGCAGAACTTTCCTCCTGCAAAAGCTAATACTTTTTGTCGCATAAATACAAGAGTAGAGAATACGAGAGGAAAGATACATAGTAAATTGTTACAACAAACGCCGCAAACCAAGAACAAATCAGGAATCACGACAAAAAAGTAAACACGCCACATATAAAGAACACAAAGATTTAAATGGTTCGGCAAAGCCTAGTTCCATGGTGAAGATCCAGTGAAAGATTTCACTGTGTGAAAAATGAGAGATTACAAGTTTCAGCCACAAACCCTACCTGTCTCTCCCACTTTCTTTTTGCGGTTTTCAATGTTCTCTCATTACACGTCCCAAAACCCTAAACGCCCTTATATACTAAGCTACAAGAGAATTTTGACACCAGGTCCACGATTTGCAAGAGAAAATGGGTCCAAAAAAAAGGGGCACACAAAGCCCTTTTTTCGGGTCAAAACCGGGTTGCAATGCGACCCCCGAAACAAAATTTTGAGCCACAACACTTAATCAAAAATAAAAAAATTTTGAGCCACAACATCACAAACTTTCAAGTGGTTTAAAATGGGAGATTTTTAGGTGTACTTCTAACGCACCAACAGGTGCATTATGACCACCCAAGTGACCCTATCATGAAGGGTGAAACCTTTTAATTCCACCAATGACATCTTTTCGCACACATAATATATATCCCCCACCTTTGTCCACATGCAAAAACTACCACCCTCTCGTTGGTTTTATATCATGCTTCCATTAACTTATTCAAGTGATTAATGCTCATCTGGAACCAATTCGATTATTCATATATTATTTAGAACTAGCATCTAGAAAGGTATAAAAATATGTATAGAGTTCTTGCAACAATACTGAAATTGAAAACCAACTTACCAATCAAGCTCTGGAAAATTACAGTCCTTAATATTCATGCCGGATATTTAGGTCGACAATATAATCAACTGGATTTCTAACCATCTGGTTCATCGCTTTCTTAGCATGCGAAAACTACCACTCTCTCGTTAGTTTTATATAATGCTTCCATTAACTTATTCAAGTGATTAACGCTCATCTGGAACCAATTCAATTATTCATATATTATTTAGAACTACCATCTAGAAAGGAATAAAAATATGTATAGAGTTCTTGCAACAATACTGAAATTGAAAACCAACTTACCAATCAAGCTCTGGCAAATTACAGTCCTTAATATTCATGCCGGATATTTACGTCGACAATATAATCAACTGGATTTCTAACCATCTGGTTCATCGCTTTCTTAGCATGGTTATGAGAATAAGTCAAAACAATCCAAAACATTAATGACGGAATTATTTACAATTTTATAGGAGTATACATATTAACTTGGTTCCCGTTGTTTAAAGCAGTGATGGAATCACAGACTGACAATGGTGAGGACTTGACTTCAAGTGTAAGAGCAGTCAGTTTGTGCAAAATAGGTTGAAGTCTAAGTCTATACATATTAACTTGGTGCCCATTGTTTAGTGCGGTGATGGAATCACGGACTGACAATGGTGAGGACTTGACATCAAGTGTAAGAGCAGTCAGTTTGTGCAAAATATGTAGAACTCTAAGTCTGCAACCAATCCATCTCTCTTGACACCCCAATTAAGGGTGGTTTTCATAGTGTATGCATAGTTATTAACCATAGAGGAGTCATAAAACAATACCCCTGACGTCCAATGTTACATCATATTTCCTGTTACCAGAAATATGAATATGAATTTAAATGAACACTTCAAAAGAATAAGTTGCAGTGAACAACGTACCTGTAATGCACAAAACACAACCACCAAGAGCTGACCATGCCTGTCTAGTGTTCTTCTTGAAGAAAAAATAGATATAAGCTGGATTGAAGGCCCTTAGAACACTAATATCATGCTTAATTAGGTTGTAAATTCCAATTGATCCCAGACTAAAGAACCACAAAGCAAGTGCAGGAGCAAACATGAAGCCCACTTTACCAGTCCCAAATCGTTGTATACTAAACAACCCAACAAGGATAACAACTGAGACGATCACTAAAGCATCTGAAAAGAAAAGAAAAGAAAAGAATCAATGGTTTCTGCTAGTTATCTCTTCACAATTGACAGATCATGGCTCAAAAATTGCATACAAACTTTATGATATGATGATTGGATATTAAGAAAACACCATTAGTGAAATGGTCTATCTAGCACTTCATCATCTCCCAGTAAATAGAAGAACACCATCAATTGAAAAGCCCGCTTTTTTTCTAGTTCAGCCTAAATTAAATAATTCACATATTGAAAATTCACAACAGCACAAATCGAGATATAATCCAAATTATCAACAATATATTCACAACAGAATAAAAAAAAGATAAGAAGTTTACCCACTTGTACCAAACCCTGGAATTTCTCCCTGCAGACCACTCACAGCAGACATGACTGCAATAGAAAATTACCTTCGTGAGATCCAAGCAGACCATGTTATGGATAACCACAAAATAAATATGATTGTGTATGCACAAAAACATTGCAAGGACACAAAAGTCTAGCTATCCTTTTCTAGAGGACAGGGTGCACTTGAATATGGCTGCAAGCATGTCAGGAAGTAGAAGAAAAAGATAATAATAATGTTTCCATAATAGTAGTTCAGCTGCTCTTGACAGTAAGAATTTCCACGATAAAAATTGCATGACTATTAGAAAAGTAAAATGCAATACACATAAATGTTCAGGATATACAACCATAGTTTAGATTCAACAAACATTAATAGAACATTGAAGATGCAAGAATTTGTTTCTTCTTTCTCTCTCTAGAATTCTTACCCTTCAATAGAATCCAGAAAAATTCCCCCTATTTTCCACCTGTAATGGTCTATTTGTAGGCCATTACCATTATTGTTGTTAACTGATTACATTGGGCCTATATTCAAAAGTTTTCTTCCTTCTGGGCATGATCTTCCTCGGTGGATTCCCCAGGTTCGGCCCATTCTGGGGCGCTTTGGAATGGATCCTACTTCAATTGTTCGACCCGATCCCGTTTCAGCGAACTATATCCGGCCCATGTCACTTGCTGCATCCTCAACTGCCCCCATAATTACCCCTTATTGATTAGGGGGTAATTATTAGAGGCTGCTAATGATAACCTGACGGCTCGAGAAGATCGTGTGGGACAATGGACGGTTAGATTTAGAGGTCGGCGTTTCGAGATTCAAAAAACTCATCGCTTTCCTGACTCCTCGGCCCTTGGGCTCACCTTGTCTTTATAAGCTTCATAGATGTTCCATCAATCCTCTTTACCGTCTCCATCTCACTTTCTGTTGTTCGAATCCTCTCCGGCGATCTCTTGCAAAAGATCCTCCTTCCAGTGGCCTTGCAGTACTTTCTGCCGTTTTCACTTTCTAAGGTTAGTTTCATTTGCATTTTTCTTTTGGAAGACTTCTTTCTTCTCCTCGGAATCTTCATTCATTCTCACCATGACAGTAGATCTAGACGTTCTTCGCATGAAACTTCACCTCCCTGACGATGTAGAAATTAGAAACTGCCCCCGAGAGGTGAATATTAGAACCGGTGCTGACCTTCTTCCCGGCGAGGTCCTGTTTTCACTCCTCCATCTTAATCTCCTTAGGTTTCCTTTGCATCCTTTCTTTTGCTATGTTTTCAACAAGCTAAATCTTTCCCCTTTGCAAGTAAACCCCAATTTCCTTAGGATTTTGTCTGTTATGCTACTCCTGATTCGTGAAAGAGGTCTGGATCTAGACCTCGTAGATCTTCTCCTCTGTTACAAGGTCAGCAAGATCAGAACTGATGAACCGTTTTACCACTTTTTCCCCATTGAGAAGAGGTCCATCTGCACGGATAAAATCAAATCCGAGAAGGGCTGGAGGAAAAATATAATTGGGGTTAGGGGAGCCTGGTTCTCTCCAGCTGCGGAGGATTTCCCTATCCCGAGCACTTTTGGAGAGTGCTCTGTCTCTTTTTACAAGAAATATAAAAACCATAAGAGTGACTGTCCTTGCGAGATTTGTATTCCTCGTTTTTGTACTTTCTTGTGCCATTCCTTAGGCATTCCTTGTGATGATTTGAGCTACGGTGTGTGCAGGGATAAGGATAACTACCTGAAGCGGTACGTTCTGACCAACGTTCCCTCCTGCTCGGACCTCCTCACCTCAGACAATCTCCTCGATATCTCAGTCCTCAGCAAGACAATGAGCCAACTCCAGATCCCTTCCTTCGGCAGGAAGAAAACTGCCCCCAGGCTTGCTATCACCCCTGCATCAAATTCCTCACCGGCTTCAGCATCTTCTTCTGCTACCCTTTCTAATACCACTCCTTCCACCGATCCATCCGTGACGGCTGCTGACCCGGTCGCTAACACAGCGACTGCCAGTCCGAACGTTACCCCTTCTGTCAACAATCCTCCTGGTTCTACCACTGCTTCCGCACGGGAAAAGGCCAGAGGAAAGAGGCACCAACCTGATAGTGCCCTCAGCATCGATGACGTTCCTTTGTCTCAGAGGGTTAGGCCCTCTGGGCCGAATGTGGTACCCCTAGCGAGACCTCCTCAAACAAGGCCCCCTACCCCTCCTGGGCATGCCTCCGCTTCAGGAACGGCGCCATGGAACCCTCGCTTCATTCGAACAGACGGATCGTCTGTTAAACCGACCGAGACCATGTTCAAAGATGGTCAGACTGCAATGGCTTACTACAGGAGCATGTGGACTCCCAAGGACATTGAGGTGGCCAAAGTTCTGTCTCAGAGGGAAGTGTTCAGCCGATTTCCCTTATCCGCCATGGAGGTAACTTCTGCCCCTTAGTCAATAAGTCTTTATACACTCTTTACACTTATTTTCTTCTAACCATCTGCTCGGCTTAACCAGTTGTCCTGTATATCTCTATAGACCCTGTACGGGATGATGGCTATGCAGAAACAAGTGGAGCATGTGAATGCCAAGGTCCGCGCGCTTTCTGACAGCCTTAATGCAATGAACAAGGAGAACGATGATTTGGCTGCTCAGAAGACCGGGTTGATGGTTCAGCTTGGTAAGATTGAAAAGGAGAGGGATTCGTTGAGGAAGGAGACTGACTCTCTTCAGGATGAGAGGAATGCATTGCAGCTTGAAAAGAGTGTCTGGCATACCGAGCGGGAATCCTTTAGGCTGAAAAGGAAGAACTGCTACGCCTTCTGAGTGATGAGCAATCCGCTCGGATGGCCTTTGAGAAAAGGGCCTTGGACGAGCGCAACGCTTTACTCGATACCATCAGTAGGGTAAACGGTGGTATGCTAGCTCTGCATGCTCGGTTTTCTAGAGTTGGAGCTCTCAGATATGCTCAGGGGTTCCGAAAGGGTTACGCCGATCATGTTCCGGATGAGGGTCAGACCGGTTCTACCCCTGATAATGTTGACAAGGAACTGGATATTGACCCTCCTGGTGTTTATACCGATCCAGACTCCTCCGCTGCCGAAGGCATATTTGATGAGTGCCAAGAGATTGCCTCTTCTCGGATCACTCCTACTCCTTCTGCTGCTCTGACTTTGGACATTCTTCCCCTGTCCACCTTGACTCCATCTGTTATTACTGCTGAAGATAACCCTCAGCAGAATGATTCTTCCAACGCTATTGAGGGTAGGACTCAACAGAACGATTCAGTCATTCACCTTGACTCTCCACCTCATGAGGATGGTGATACCAACAATAATGAGGAGACAGACCAGCATCATCAAGAGGCTGACGAGGCGAACGCCTCTTAGTTAGAACTCTTTTCTCTCTCTTTTTTTTTTTTTTAAATGTACTGACTTTGGTATATTCGCCATCTTTACACCTCATCTTTTTTTTTGTAAGTCTTTGAACTTTATTAATGAGATGGCCGACTTCTGATCAAGCTCTTTATGTAAACTCTCTCTCTTTTTTACTTTTTCTTTTTTTTTTTTTTTAGCAAATGTTTGGCGTTCGGCCTATAGTGCCAGCTGCCACTTACTTTGCTCAGGCGCCTGGCGCTCGGCTAGAATGCCACTTGCCACTTGGCCCTCTCTTTTTCTTAGCAAGTGTTTGGCGTTCGGCCTATAGTGCTAGCTGCCACTTACTTTGCTCAGGCGCCTGGCGCTCAGCTAGAATGCCACTTGCCACTTAGCCCTCTCTTTTCCTTAGCAAGTGTTTGGAGTTCGGCCTATAGTGCCAGCTGCCACTTACTTTGCTCAAGCGCCTGGCGCTCGGCTAGAATGTCACTTGCCACTTGGCCCTCTCTTTTTCTTAGCAAGTGTTTGGCGTTCGGCTCATAGTGCCAGCTGCCACTTACATTGCTCAGGTGCCTGGCGCTCGGCTAGAATGCCACTTGCCACTTGGCCCTCTCTTTTTCTTAGCAAGAGTTTGGCGTTTGGCCTATAGTGCCAGCTGCCACTTACTTTGCTCAGGCGCCTGGCGCTCGGCTAGAATGCCACTTGCCACTTGGCCCTCTCTTTTTCTTAGCAAGTGTTTGGCGTTCGGCTCATAGTGCCAGCTGCCACTTACTTTGCTCAGGTGCCTGGCGCTCGCTTAAAATGCCACTTGCCACTTGGCCCCCTCTTTTTTTTAAAAAAAAAAAAAAACAAGTGTTTGGCGTTCGGCTCATAGTGCCAGCTGCCACTTACTTTGCTCAACCTTTTAAAGAAGAGTATAATCTTTATAAATCTCAGAAACTTGTACATTCAACTGTATTCAATTAAAAATGAACAAAATTCAGTATTGAATCTCAACTTTTTATTGATAATACCTCTTCAGAGAAATAGCATTCCAAGGCTTGTTAACTAGCCTTCCGGCCATGGTTTCTAAGATATATGCCCCCTTTCCTATGACTTCTGCAATTCTGTATGGGCCTTCCCATGGTGGCATCATCTTTTTGACTATCTCCACCTTCTTTTTCAGAACCAGATCACCTGGTCTAAAGTCTCTGTGCTTTACTTTCTTGTTATGGTTGTTCGCAAATGTCTGCTGGTAGGATGCGAGCCTTACCACTGCTGTATCTCTTTTTTCTTCCAGCAAATCGAGGTTAAACCTTAACATACTGTCATTATGCTCACGGTTCCATGCCAAGCTTCGAACAGTCAGAACTAAGTGTTCAGCTGGTATAACTGCCTCGGTACCATACGCCATGGTGAATGGGCTTTCTCCGGTCGGTCGTCTAGGGGTCGTTCTGTAGGCCCATAGAACGTTCGGCAGTTCATCTAACCACCTTCCTTTCCTTTCTTCTAACTTCTTCTTGATACAAGTAAAGATTGTTCTATTTGTAATTTCCGCCTGTCCATTGGCCTGTGGGTGACTTACTGCCGCCAGCTTTTGATTAATTCCATATTCCTCCAACAGCTCTCTTACTTGCTTACTGTCAAGGTTGGTCCCATTATCCATGACGATTGACCTCGGAACACCAAACCGGCAAATAATATTACTCCAAATGAATCGTCTCACA